ACCATCAGGTGGCCAATGTGTTTGTTACCCTTATTATATAAAAAAGTATCTTGAGGAAACCTGGATGTCATTAAACGAATTCCGCCTATATATATTGAACTACCGCGGCAAACAAAATTGACAAGAGACCTGTACTCGTATGTAGGAGATTGTTGTTTAACTTTATTAAAGAGCTTAAAAAGTAAAACCATAATAGACAGGCATACCATAAATGCGTGCGATTATAACATATAAAAAGAGGGGGAATGGAATCGGATGCAAACTTTCGTCTAGTAATAAATTTTAACAAGCCAGTGATGAAAATGGATCATGAAAGTGAGATTAGAGTGGAAATATAAAAGAGAGCAGTTTTAACCGTAACACGATTGTATTGTCTTACATGAAAATTATAAACACTTTTTTTACAATAGCTATTCATAAAAATGTTTCTACAATACAAAGAACTATCTAAAATATTATTGCACGTATAAATGGTTATAGCATTGGCTATAAACAGTGTCAAAACTTGAATTTTATGTTTATTACCAAACTTCCTTTGTTATTTTTCGTTAACAACGAAATTGTCATTGTCCCATGTATGTGATGGACTCGTTTCGATTTTGAACACTGTATGTGATGGACTCATTTTGATTTTCAACTATGTATTTGTTGGACTCGTTTCGATTTTCAAAACGAGAATGTTTAGACAGAAACAGCATATAGCATTTTAATTCAACAGCAGCGTATCCTTTCCTCTACTTTTTTAGGCTTTGTATTGTTTCCTTATGTAATTGATCTTTGGCTGAGTTTCTTACTTTCAAAAATTATAAATCTATATAATGTTACTTTTCAAAAATTTATTGAAATCTGACAGTAATTCCTTACATTATATTTGACATATAACGGCAAGTTTATCGTTAATTAAGCGTTTATTAACATTTAATTAATTTGCTGATTCCCTCGTCGTCATACACAATTAAAAATTTTTACGAAAGAATTTACTCAAGTACTATCGTTTACGCTTAAATTCCATGTGTAAAGCGCTGAACACAATCGTTTTAACGTCGAGTATATGCTTAAGCCTTTCTGAGAGAACAAAAACTTTATCCCCGAAAGCCCTCTATTGAAAGATAGCGCTAATGAATTTCTTTCATTGAGTATTCACAAAGCAGCGGCAGGCTAAGATGTGAATCAACGACGATTTCCACAGAAAAAATAAACAGACCGCAGCCGCATCGAATTGCGCGGAGTGAGTGCGAAGCGGGGGCCCGCCAGCACTTTCTCATGCAAAAGTCGAACGGTTACTTTAATTCTTAGCTAGAGCACTTGTCGGTTTTACGAGCGTGGAGCGATTTAATCCACTTAAAACGCTGAGCACAAACTCAGAGCCGACAAAGCTCTCAGCCGCTCTCATTTAAAAATGGAAATAAACCCCGGGCCATCTTTGACTCGACGCGCGACCGCTAGTTGAATTCTAAGTACGATTCTCCAATGGTGAGCCCCTGATTCTTTTTTGATTTGACAGGAATAATACAGATTGTAAATCGAATTTTTTCTTTCAATCTACAATCCACAATCAATCTATCAATCATTCATCGCAAATTGAATTGTGTTTTGATTTTTGGCTTTGTTATTTTTGGAGAGGGAATTGATTTGGATTTTTCTTCAATAGTTACACTGCTTACGCTTAGTTTAAGTATATGCATTTATTACAGATAATTATTGATCTTTCACTACTTGAATGATAAGTAGCATTTCATAAAAAAAATAATTATTAACTAATATTTTTTTGGATACGGACCTCTTTCAATGTGAAGGGAAATGGATGAATGGCGTTGTGAAATCGCCACCTTGACTTACCAAAAAGTGCTAATATTAGAAATTGACCTTCATCCCTTTGGAATTTTTTCGAATTGTATATCTAAGAAGACATAACTGACAAAAATTGAGGATATTTACAATATTATATATTTTTAATAATTTCTCAATCATATTTTTACGTGGTAGAGCCATGCTGCAACTATATTTGTAGTATAGTTGTAGCACGAATGGGTCGGCTCGACCGTGGAAGGACCACGGTCTCACGCTCTCCACTGAATACAAGGCGTAAAATAGCAGCTTAACGCTGCTGTTTTTTGTATGGTGAGTGTAGAGAACCGGAGACCCTTTTTACTGGAAATGAGGCATTCCATCTTAGTCCTCACGGGTGACAACGCATCTGCATTTTGATTTGTAATAGAGGATAGATGTAGATGTCTATGGGCCGCAGCAACCACTTACCATCAGGTGGACTATGTGCTCGTTTGTCAACCTTATCCTATAAAAAAATATAACTTGTTGATAAGACCTAGTGCCTAATTTTGTTGTAACGATTGTTAATAATCAAACTAAATCCAACTTTTCTCCTAAAAGCAAATAAATTTTCTTGTGACTGCTCCTAAGTTTTCTCTTTCATTTTTAATAAAATAGAAAAATGCTTTACATGTTTTATATTTAAAAAAAATTAACTGGCTTTGAATATAAGGAGTCATTTTACATCGATGGTTAAAGAGAAGGATATTAAAACAACGCATTTAAAACATGAAAGAGCGAGCAGAATGGTCTGTGGACCGAAACGCGAAGCTGCTGTGTTTACACAGGGGAAGTAGGGAATTATTTTGCCTGCGGACCATGTCTTTGGTTTCCAAGTCTTAATGAAAGAGTTCGTTTACAGCGAGATTATTTCGCATTTGTTTATTTTCGTACTTTCTGGTCTTTTGCGGTGGCTTAACTTTACGGTTTTGTGTTATTAAATTTCATTTGGAATGGTCTAACTTTTATGAACTTTCAACTTTTCAAGTCTGTGTTAACAGTGCTAACTTAACTTTATGATCCTATTTTCTTTGTAGATTGGTTTCGATACTACTACATTGAAATATAGGTTTTTTTTGTGTTTATAAATATAATTACGTAACGGGTCAGCACGCTGAAGTGGTAATGGGCCAGCCGTATAACATACACTGACATCAGAGGTTCCTCGAGTAACTCCCGATAGACCGAGTCTCGTAATGGTAGGTAGAAGAGAATGGAAGTGTAAAGCGGCTTCTTACTAGAGGGAGGACCTGGTAAGACCTGCATAAGAAGATAGACGTAGGAGGCGCACGGCCGTATTTTTTGGCGTGCCTCGGTGCCTGTATTCATCAGAGAACTTGTGAAGGGCTATAGTGATTCTGATGATCCTCTTAAGCCAGTAAGATCTCATTGCACTATAACCATCTCGTAAGATATCCAGACCGACGATTGAGAGCATCGTAAAGGTCTTCTGACTTCTGGTATAACGATTGCCAATCCATATATATATAATCGTGGCATTTGTAGCAAATCTTTGACAGAGGCCCATATCCAACAGTAGAGTTTACAAGCTGACATATAAATACATAAATAAGTGTAAAATTATATTACGCTACAAAAGGGAGAGTTTTAAATTAGTGTTAATATTTTTTTTTCTTTAAATAATATTTACGTGAATGCATTCCATATTGCATTTGTTAATATAAATAATTAAGGCAATGGGTAATTTGCAACATAAAAACAAAGGAATTCTCGCTTAAAACTTGTTCCGACAATCCTGCTAACCACGATCACATTACAATCATTAACTTTCCTCCAACACTCAAAGTGGACCCTATTAAAAGACCCAAAATCCCTAATTACGCTGCCAAAAATTCCTAATTATAAAGTCTCCATCACAATTCAGAGTTGCAGATTTTAATTACCTTCCTTAATATCTATTTTTTTTTTGGTTCGCGGGAAATTACTCGGAAGGAAGGCAGCTCTTCAGACAAATAGGTTTTTAGGTACTATTTAATTACTGTTTACTCTCTCCACTGCGTTAATTTGCCTCGTTTGTAGAAATTTCGAAAGTCATTAAAAATAAGTTTCCATGCACACAGGAGTTTGCATTTACATTTTTTTTATTAAAGTGAACGGTTAACATAATTATATATTTCATCGGTAAATAGACATGCTAAATGATCAACATTTAAATAATAATTTAACCATAGAAGCGTAAAGAAATCCATCACCCCCATTTTAATCTCTTGTGTTCCGTAGACTGCCTTCTACGGAACTCAAGAGATTTCCGTAGAAGGCAGTCTACGGAACTCGGTTAGGATTCAGCACAGTAAATTCAAAAATCTTATGTTCTTCGGCGCTGCGTAACTATCGAGAGACGAACTGGTATATCAGAACCTAATTTTTTGTAAGGAATTTTAAACATAATATTATTTATTTTTACTCCACACAAAACTTTTTTATTATAGAACTAGCAGTTCCTCGCGACTTCGCCCGCGCGTAATTTATTACGATTGGATTTCATGGGTTTTTTTTCCCGGAACTCTAAATCTTTTTCTAAAATAAAAGCAGCCTAAGTTACTTATTATAACATCAGCTATCTGCCAGTGAAAGTCCGATCAATATTGGTCCAGTCGTTTCGGAGATTAGCCGGCACAAACAGACAGACAGCCAGGCAGACAGAAAGACAGACAAACAAATATTTTAAAACTCGTGTTTTTGTTATATGTACCATATATACTTTCATATGTATATAGTAAATGCTGTTATTTCGACATTACAAACAGACACTTCAGTTTTATTTATTTGTATAGATAAGTATGACAAACGGGCACACAGTCAACACGATTGTAAATGAAATCCGTGGCCATAGATATCCACATCTATCCTCTATTAAGAATAAATGTGCATTGTCACCTCTGAGTACTAAGATGGAATACCTCGTTTCAAGCAAAAAAGGTCTATGGTTCTCTACATTCACCACACGATACACAGCAGTATTGAACTACTATTGCACGCTGGTATTCTGTGGGATCGTACATACACGGTCGAGACGACCCAAAACTTTGTGGAACTGTAGAAGAGGTCCCTATCCAGGCATGAATTATTTACAGACTATTAGATATTATACAACAATGTTGAATTTTTCCAACGACGCGCCTCTTATATTAACTATATCTTGTCAACAGGATGGTGACAGAGGATACTTGGAGGGCCTCGCATCTCGCTACGCCGATTTGTTCTCCACCCACTACGGGGATGTACTTGATCACCTTGAAGAGTTAAGGAGACACGAGTGGGATGAAATGTCTCCGCGAATGAGGGTACTGGGTGGCCCTGGAACTCCCCAAACACCGCCGACGGCGAGTCCCGGTTCCCTGGCGTTAAATAACCTCACCACTTCGCATTCACAACCTATTTACGTGCCTGGAAAATATTCGGTAAGAACTTCAGTATAGTTATTATAAACAAATAAAAAATAAAAATACGTTTATTTCTCAACAACACTTTCTCATAAATAAGTGGTAAAACAACCCAGAGAGTAATTTAATATACTCGTGTTGGGGTGATTCGCTCTTACCCTTGTGCTTAACATTTATTGACATCTTAAAATTTATTAATACAGGTATTTATGTATTACATAAAACTTATCCATTACCAATTTATATATTTGTTTTTATGAGCACTATATTATAATGTGCGCACGCGTGTGCGTGTGTGTGTGTAATATATAATAGTGAAATATATTTTTAAAATAAAATAAATATTTGTATTGAACTTTTTCCTATTACCTCGTTATTAATGAGATGTGAAATTATGATCATCCTAATTATTAATCCCTTTACTACGTCCATCAACTTCCTGTGTCTCTTACCGGGTCGCCTTTTTATCTAGTGGGGGCCAGCATACACTTTGCTTATTACCGGTACGAGGTCAAATCATATAAAATTATACTCGTATATTACTTAAAAATTTTAGTTAATACAGACTAAAAATACTTACTGAAAGTCTCTTTTAATTACCACTTTTTCGAATACGCTGTATTGCGGAGGATATGGCTATGGCTCGGAGCATGCGGACTCAAGGATTTGCGGAGTATATCGTACCGGCAGTTGCTTGGGACCACTGCTTATCCTCAAACAAGGCACACTTAGGATATCCTTAACGAATTTCCAAATTACCAGTTTAATATTCTAGTCGCGAGCTATACGCAAAAGAGAACCGCGCACCGCGCGCCATTTCGACATATCTTAACATTAATTTTCACCATTGCACCCTTGTATTTTGCCCCATATGGTTACACAATTTTATTTATAAGACACACATACAAAGTCTTATCATTATGATATACATCACATTGTTATCACACAAATACATATTAAGATATTCAACAAAATACACCTATTTTACAGAACATTATCAAAGTTAGAAATCTTAAATATCTAACACACATGGTCAAAATAACAATCTTTATTAATAAACACGAATATCTTAACTAATACAATAGATTAATTCACAATTTAAAGAAATTTTACATTTTAATTCAACTTTATTTTCTTATGTATTAAAAACTACATCTATCTCTGTTCATTATGAAACAATATTTGCTTACATATGCTATTCTTATCTAGCCATAATTAATCTTATCTCTTATCACAACAGCAAAATATATTTTCATCTAAAATAAGTAGCTAATTTATGCAAATAAATAAAATTGAAGTGTCTGTTTGTAATGTAAAAATTACAGTTTTTTACTAAATACATATGAAAGTAAATACGGTAGATACTTATAACTAAAATACAATTTTTTAAATTTTTGTCTGTCTGTTTGTTCCGGGTAATCTCCGAAACGGCTGGACCAATTTTGACGGGACTTTCATTTGCAGATAGCTGATTTCATAAGGAGTAACTTAGGCTACTTTTATTTTAGACAAATAATTAGGGTTCCGCACAAAACATAAAAACCCTAACACGCAAGCAAAGTCGCGGGAAACAGCTAGTTTAATATAAAACCCTTATTCGTATTGCATAGCCGATTACTATGTAACACATGACTCTAAATTAATCTATAAACAAACTTTCATGGAATTACAGGAAATCTCGACCGGGGAATCGAACCCCGAACTTTCGTTCGACATTATATTGAATCTATTTACTTTTAACATAGATTATCTCAAAATGAAAATGAAATGCCTTTTATAATTTAAATAGCAATAACTTCAAAACACGAAATTATTTATTTGTATGAAATAAAAAATGACAAACTATTTTGTAAGCGAGTCGCCAACAATAACAAAGGCCTTTTCTCTCTTGCCTTAAAAACACTCATTGAGATCTCACCGAAAGACAGATGGTGGCAACTTATTTCACTCCTTACCTGTATGCATGACTAACGATAAAGCAAAGCATTTGGTTGGTTAAAGTTAAAAACGTTAAAGTTACAGCCTATATACGTCCCATTGCTGGGCACCGACCTCCCCATTTCTGAGAGGCTTTTAGGGCAAGGAAGTATCCGCTGCGCTGCCCCAATGCGTGTTGGCGAACTTCACATGTCTCCGAAATATTTTTTTCTTATATCTCAGACATGCAGGTTTCCTCACGATGTTTTCCTTCATCGCCGAGCACGTGGTAAATCAGCACTTAAAATTGCAATTAACAATTTCATTGGTGCCGGCGGTTACTGACCCCGGTATGCTCGCGTACTGTGAAATTTATTGCGAGCGCTGACCATCTGAGTGATAAATCTACAATAAAGGGGGAAGACTGGTCGGGCGTCTGGTTGTCCAACGGTGGAAGGGAAAAGAGGGAAATAAGTTATGACATTGCTGTGCACACTCCGAAATATATCCTGTGGACAATTGAAGGGTGGCTACTTTGCGCCTGTGATCGAGACTGACGAGATTGGTTTTAACCACATTCAGATCACCAATAAACTTCATATCACACCTTTACAATGAGTTTAAAGCTGCTTCTAGTGTGCTGACCCGGCGAGAAGTACCACCACACATTTGTAAGGACTTCTAACTTCCTTGCATCGGCTTTGGCCTTGGACTCAATGACCCATCCGAAGTTCAGGTTTTGGGAAATCTTAACCCGCAACAACTAAAGGCAAGGAAAGAAAGAGCCTAGAAGAGTTATCCCCCATCAACTCCAATAAAAAGCGAATGGGGCATCGCTCCGTTCAAAGTAATCATTACCGCCAGGCAGACCGCGTAAATTTAATTGTAAATTACTCGAGTAATGTTTCGCTTGTTATGACCTTAATTTATTTGCGAGATTTATGTTTATGGCTCAATTCCACTTGAAGTAATGTACTACTACAAATCTACAATTGTGTAATGTTACGAGGAAATTAATAGCTAACAGGAGCCCAACGATATAGGTTTCACGCGTGAATGCCAGCGTTAATAAATCTTGATTATTATACCATCATCATTGCCCATCATAATTCCAGTGCTGAACATATGGCAACTCCATATATTGCCACAGAAGGGGAATATGGCCTAAAGGTCTAGATACCAGGCCATAAACTCCAAAAAAAACATAGGGGGAATATTAGCCATAGTTGTCACGCTTGAGAAGCGTGTTAGCAAGCAGTTTTATTATTTTGAACTGTTATCAAGGAAATTCTGCTGACCAGATCCTGTTTCAGTTTCCCTCTGTCGCCTTTTACGGGACGATATGGGCTAGTGGATTCTCTTATGCCACTGCTACACGGCGCACGGATTATTACACCACTTACTAATAACCATTGTGGCCGAGGCATGTTCATCTGAAATATTTTTGTGCATAAAAGTTTAAACAAATAAATATTCGGTACCTTATATCGATTTACTACAATAAGGAATAACCACGATATTCTTGATAAAATCTAAAGGATTATACACTATCAGTAAACAATGAGAGCTAATATCTTCCGCTCACCAGATGTCGCTAGTTAACACTAAGGGCAAGTTTTTTGTTACACACTATCATTTAATTGAGAAGTTGGTTTTAAATAAAAGCTTATCAGCTTCTAGAATATCATATTAATACACAAAACAATGCCTCAATGTGTTGTTTTGTTTTTCAATCTTTCTACTTTTATGAACTTATTTTTAATCTGATTAATATAAAATATGACGAATTGTACAGAGAGAAATATTAACCTTTACATTTTTTGAACAAATTAACTTCTCTTGTATGAAATCTCTCAAATATTACATCGAATTTTTAAGTACCGATACGACTTAGGGACCTTCAAGAAAAGAGCGTATTCCTTTTTAAAAAGCCGACAACGCATCTGCGATTCCCTCCCTGGTGTTGCAGCTGTTCATGGGCAGCGGTAGTCACTTACCATCAGGTGAGCCGCATGCTCGTTTGCCCCCTCTCCTATATAAATAAAAAGTGGCGCCGCCCTGTTGGTAGAAAAAGTCGTGGATACTCTCCTTAATTACACATTATATTCTATCTTCTTTTTCAGTAGCTTATTTGAAATTACCTATGTGGTGTCGACACATGAAATCTATAACGGGTAGAAAATTGTGTTCCATCTTAACTCCACGTTTAAGTACTCGCCTATATATTTGTACGTCCCACCGCTGGGCATAGGCCTATTTTCATTTATTAGAGGATTTGTGGGAGGCATCATTGCTTTTTTTACGTTTCGACGTTTAAAATGACGACTATAGAAGTAATTTCACGTTCACGCTCAATTTAAACTTCGATCCAACGAGAAATACGTTTATTAGTGTTATTTATCGTTACACAGTTTTTTTTCACTTTGAGTTATAATACAATCATGCGTTCATTGGTTTTTTGATTTTAAAATAAAAATAATAACCACAATTAAGGGAATTGTATTTTGTACCCGATATGTTTTATACGAGTACAACTAAGTGACTGAGAGAAAATTGGTGTCTTTTTTAGTTGTACAAGATTTAGTTTTTCCTTTTAGTCGGGAGAGGGAGGGGGGGGGGTAAAGAAATCTCTCGTGTAACTTTGAATTTTTTTTTATAGGATAGGGTGACACACGAGCACACAGTCCACCTGATGGTATGTGGTTGCTGTAGCTCATAACCATCTACATTTATCCTTGTTTGCGAATCAAAGTGCAGATGCGTTGTCACCCGTGAGGACCAAGATGGAATGCCTTTTTTCTAGTAAAAAGACCCTTTTTTCCGGTTCTCTACACTCACCATACGAAACATAGCAGTGTTAAGCTGCTATGTTACGCTGGTATTCTGTGAGAGCGTGGTCCTTCCCCGGTCGAGCCGACCCATTCGTGCTACAATTATATTATATTACTAATATAGCTGGAGATGGCTCTACCACGTGTAAAAATTTGTTTAACTATTCCACAAAAATAAAATATTTTTTCGAACTGCACTTTTGTCTACTTTTTGTTCCATTCTAATCTGAAAATGACTTTCATACAATTACACTTAAGCATATTGTGTTAAGTATTTATTAGTTAACAAATTAATCATTACATTTCTTTTCTTACAGCCTTCAAGCTGCCTTACCGATAAAGAAGAGGACGAGATCTACGGATTTGGCTACGGAGTATTTGGCAAGCAGATGCTTCAGAGACAGCAACAGCAGAAGCAATTACTTTTAGCACAGCCAACTCAGCCTCTTATTCACAACCAACAACATAACTATCAAAGGTAAGGATTTTGAGATTTACTTTTAAAATATTTTTTTAATAAACTACGAACAAACTGTTTCGTTATACTGTACTTAAATGCTGTCCAGACATAAACCCCGTATATTTATGTGAATACAGGTGAGAACCGTTTAATAAAAAGATAGTTTTAACACTATGTTTAGCCTTTATCCAAGTCAGTAGTCTGACAGAAGAAGCATGAGAGTAGAATAAATGTTGTTGAAATGCGGTCATTAAGGAGTATGCTAAGGCTTAATCTGAATGACAGGGTGAGAAATAGTGTGATAAGAGAAAAGTGTGGTTTCCAAGATGACGTTGTGACCAGCTATAAAATTATGTAGAAATTGTTTATAGACCATTTTCAAGTTAATTAGACAATATCACCAGCTCACTGTAATAACTGGAATTTTATCTTAAAAATAACCATGAGAAACTTCGTTCCTTATTTTTGATTTCTTTTTCCCCATTAACTTATATTAAAGGTAGATGATCAATTTGATTTTACTGTTGCTCATAAACATAAATTCTTCGAACACGCACATCGTTGTAATAAGTGATTATCTTCTAGAAGTATTACGTCTATATTCTGTGAAATACAAGCCATCCAATGTCGATTCATTCGCGATGCTAACGAGGATGCCTGGGGGCGCGCTCGTAAATTATTTTGACTTTAACAGGTGTACTCGTTAGATAAGCTTTTACGTTGCATGTTTAAACCTTAATCTAAATTGAAATCAGGCATTCGACTGGTGACAGAAACCGCCAGGATGAAAATAGTTGTAACTTACTTGTCATAAGATAATGCATATGTAAATATTTGTACTACAACCTTTGTCCCTTTGTTTTAACCCCTACGCAAAAAGAGGGGTGTTATTAACTTAAACGCTATATGTGTCTGTCTGGGTGTGTGTCTGTCTGGGTGTCTGTCTGTCTGGGTATCTGTCTGTGGCACCGTAGCTCTTAAACCGTTGAATCAATGCGAGTCCTGTTTTTATTATTTAAAAGCAGATTTTCTAGCGGTGGTTCTTAAATATGTTTGAACAAAATTGGTTAAGCCGTTTCAAGGTCATCAGCCTTTTTTTGAGACTGAGGTGTTTGACGTCCCGATGACATAGTTAGTCTGGCTACCTTCAGTTTTTGAATATTAGTTTTGGTCTGATCTACGCAGAATGAGCTTACAGTATCTTGAAGTCTTGCAGTGGCATGCTTGGTAGGAATCGGTGTTCTTTTGCCAGGATTTGTGGTCTATCAAATCTAAATTAATGGCGGGGACGATCAAGAACATGTTCACACACTGCAGACTTCCCGGAACGTCGGTGCTTCAAGTCAGCTATGTGTTATTTCACGCGGGTTTTAATAGATCTTTTTGTTTGTCCTATCTAAGAGACCACATTCACAATCCAGCTTGTACACTCCTGCATCTTGTAGAGGGATATAACACTTAACGGATGGTAATAATTGGCTAAACTTCTTCGGCGGCTTGAAGTATGTTTTAATGGAAGCTCGCTTCAAGATGTAGCCAACCTTGTCTGTGACTCCTCTGACATAGGGTGTAAGCAGCCACACGCTCGACTGTGGCCAGCTTCACTCGGTCACTGTGATGTAGGCGCGGGACCCGAAGCTTGTTGTCTTGCAATAGTTGCTCGACGTGCTGAAGCTCGACGTGCTGAAGCTCGACGTGCTGAAGCTCGACGTGCTGAAGCTCGGCGGCCAGATGTTCGATAGTCATCAAAATTTATTCACCTAGAAAAAGGTTATGAAGTAACACAAATAAAAAACAGTCGAATTGAGTACCTACCTACTTCTTTCTTTTTTGAAATCGGTTAAGAATAAAATATAATGTTATCTTTTAAAGTTAGAACAGCGGCTGATTTTTACTGATATATTGCTAAAAGAGTGGTTAAATATATGAATTGGTTGCAAGGAAACGTGTTCGACTTTCAAAACGAGAAGGAATTCATTCAAATTCCTTACTAACAATGATATTATCTTACCGCGGAACTGCCTACTTTGCCAATAACTTCTAATCTACCAACCGAGCATAAAGATCTTACGTCATTTGAACGGCGTTCGGAATTAACGTTATTTCGGATAATAACGTGGTAGATAAATTCTAATTATCTTTACTTAGTTATTACCTTAAATAATCTCAAAATAATATCTTTTGTTATTTATACGTAATAAATTGTCTTAAAATATATATGTCAGCTGCTATAACAATAAAGTTAAAAATTACAAGTTAAATACACTATGGTAATATACTAAGCAATGAGCTAAAAAATGTATCAATATTATTTACTATAACTATAATTGCAAGTTACTTTGTTATATCGTAACTGTAACAAAATAACTCGCGATAATAAGCCAATCCTCACAATTTTAATGTGGAATTCATCGACATGTGGAATTTGAATTATTTTTCCCTTTATCGTTATATTCCGTTTTAATTTATTCACCTGTTCTAGTCACTTGCTTAGTTTTTTTTTATTTGCATTATCTCCATAAATTTGTTAACAACAAGTCCCGTGTCGCTCTACGCCTACGCATAGCGTCTGCAGTTGTCCAATGCTAATTAGATCTTCGCACCAAGCTAGTTCGCTTAATGAATTACCTCGTAAAAAGGTACTCGATAGCGTGTTCCAGACTTTAGAATTATTTACTCTGCCGTTTAACATTTAAATTGGTATTTTGGCGAGCGATTTAGAGTCAGGCATAATAGCTGTTTTATTTTATCGTTTTTCGTTATTGAAACACTTCCCGTTTAAATAGTGTTTACAGTGTGAAAATTTAGTCTAAATTTAAAAACATTTTTAAATTCTATTTATAAACTTCTGACAAAATAATATTGATAAATTACTCGGGTTATTAAATTGAAAATAAAATAAAATAGTTAATAGCGATTCACGAATTGATTTTTTCATAACTTAAACCGGGGCAGTTTTATGATGCGGATACTATCAAAGTTCGCTTCATATACCGAAGAAGCTTGAGTTTGAGCTTCTACTACGGTAATTATTTACAGATATCAAACAACAGTTAAACAGAATAGTCCAAATCAAAAACTAAATCGAGCTCAAGCTAAAATAAAGACCAACGAAAAGATGAACACTAATTAAGAATTTTACAATTCGTATATACCTCCACCAAAAAAAAAATACAGTTAATTCTTAATAAATGGTATTTAATAACCCTTAAATCTAACAAAAAATGAATTTGGTAAATTTTGAATTGTTTAATTTATTACTCCTATTTTAAATTACCTTTACAACTTTAATCTTGTTGGGTCTAAATACAAAACTTTCTTGAATTTTTATTCATTTTAAACTATCAATAATCCCAAGTTATCTTAAACCATAGGCATTAATACCTTAGTTACTTTCAATAAAACAAGTTTAGTTATAAGACCGATAGCGATCTTCTATAATTGAATTATTATTTAACTAACTTGGAGCAATACTTTATTGCCTTCGCTTTCACCATTAAATTGTATTTATTTGTACATATCGGATAGATCCCAACCTGTATGTAAGCAAACTATATTTTATCGTCAGACATTCGAGGCATCAAAACTTCACCTCTAACGAACCCACACGTATGTAAATGTACATGTAAATTACACAAATTGTATTTCATTGAATTAATAAGACTAAACATTGGAAGCAACTAACGAATGTCTTTGACATATATTTAGGTTAAGTTTATCTATCAACAAAATGGTTCAGGTAGTGAATCACAATAGGTGAAAGAAAATTTTATTGAATTTGATATTAATATTTTGAGTGTATTCTTGAAGTAAGTGCAATTTTTATAGTAAATACAAATTTTTTTTGCTTGCTTTTTTTATAAACGTTACCGCCACACTAGGATTTTCTCCTGTATCGTGGAGGCAGTTTACAAACATAAATTGCGCAAGGACAAACATCCAGACCCGGAACAATTATTTGTAGGCCATACAAATACTTGTTCCGTGCGGGATTCGGACCCGCAGCCCCCAGCGCAACAATTGATAAAAAAATTAAATTAAAATAATGTTGAGGATTTTGTTATACTAAAATAAGATTTTAGTTGGTAATTGTGCAAATTTTCCAAGACAACATGTTGATAATGAATCAGTAATAAAACGAGCCCATGGTACTCCATTTGAAATGCACCTACGAACGAAACATATTTGTATACTTGACGCATCAGCTGAGGCGACGTGAAGAATATACTGATTTGTCGAAAACATGCGCCAAGGAGCAGCTTGCTTTCATTTTCACTTATCAAGCGCAACATTTAAACCTTTTTAACTTACAAACTAAGTGTTTTGGATCTAATTATAATAATTATATAAAATCAATTTAAAAACAAGCTTTAATAGACATTCAGCATCCGGGTCCATCATCAAATTAACTCCATGGTACCATATTACTGTATTTTCAACGAAGTATGCCAAGTTTCAACCCAATGTAATGTCAGCAAGTTCTTCAAGTATTGATTGCAAATTTGAACTGAAAAGACGAAAAATAAAAGTGAAAAAAAGAAATAATAGCTTGTAGAAAGTGGAGAAGCTTGTAGAAAGTAAAGAAATAACATGAGCAAAAATGTTCGTCATATCTGTCTGTATATTTAGGCAAAACTTAAGTGACATCGCAAGGAATCATAAGCAAGTCTAAAAATGTTTTATCGATTTATAACATCTAAAAGAAAATATGATACCACTCTCCTACCAATATCTGCCGCCAACAAAAAAATGATTTTAATTTTAACCACTGAACTAATATGTACTATGTACTACAAAAGACACAAATCTATCTAACAAAATCTATGCGGCTGTGCAGAACGCGTAAAAGTAGGCACAGAACATCTTTTTATAGCACAGACTAATTAAGTAGGAGTCCGCTGGCTCTACCGTGTGTTGCCATCAATCACGTCTCATCGTCTCTTCTAGTACGTAGTACATTACTTCAATGATTTTAACCACAGATTTTTCTAATGACAACAAATTTTGATCCTTAATTT